ATAGGTGTATAGGTATAGGTGTTTTCCAACAGTAGAGGGCGTCCATAGCCAGCAGGCCTGAATAAGCAGCACACAGAAAATAATTAAAAATTCGTAAACAGTTGCTATCAACACGCAGCATGCATTTTATTCATGCAAAATCACTGCACATTACCCGTACAATCTTCACTCGAAACTTTTGCCAGCTCTATGATGCGACATTCCACCATGTTTGTAGGGTACCCCTCAACTCTCAAACGCGGCTGCCTGGTCACCATGGCTATACGACACTCCACGCATTTGCACAATTTTTCCACAAAACCGATTGAAATTTCAATCTTTTCCAGACGTCAATTGGGCACCCATCTCGCGTGTGCAATGCACATTTCTGTACTCTAATGACGAAATTTGGCACAAAAAATTCGAGAAAACTGCTCTTTTGTACACGAGAAATAGTGCAACGCAACTGTTGCACGCCTCTTTAAAGGGTATGTCGGGGTACAGATTGATTACAAATTTTGAGAGTATGTAGTGGAGGGATTGGTCAATGTGATTCGAACATTTTAAACAGAATACCCGTCTAGAAGCTGAACAGTACACATTAGAACAGAGGCCCCATTTCGCATGTGCATGCTGTTGCGAGGGCAGGCGTATATAGTAGAGATTTTTTTCGGATGAGCGGCGAAAATATAATCCACACACACAAACACACACACACACTTTCCGCGAAAAAATCAAACAGCGGAATGGAATGTTATTTTGATATAAAACATTGTGACCCCGACGTGATTCGAACACGCAACCTTCTGATCTGGAGTCAGACGCGCTACCGTTGCGCCACGGAGTCGGAGTAATTCTTCAAGTCCGCGAGAAATTACACGAGTTTTCAAAATAAAACCGAGGTAAAATGAAGCGCGATTTACGGCGAGTGTTCGGCGCAATTTGACGAGACCGTGACGTAAGCGAGTGAATCGACCCAGCGGCCGCCGCTGCTCCGCCGTCCGGTAGAAAAAAATAGAGCGTCGAACATTGTATTCGAAGCATTGGATTCGAAGCATTGGATTCTTCTCTCGTAGTTGTTGATTTTCGAATCCGGTTCGTCTGCTTGACTCTCTCTAGAGCCGCAGCATCCGGGGGAGGGGGAGGGGGAGGGGGAG